TAAGCCTGAGTTATTATATATGCCTGAGTTATTATATATGCCTGAGTTATTATATATAACTTACTTACTAACCGCACTGCTGATTTACTAGTCACTATTCGCCTTTTACGACAGTCGGGATACCTTCTTGTCTTATTCGATGAATACGGAGCCATAGAAATGACATTAACAAAATATTTATTGAACATAATCGAACGAAGTATATATAAAATTTTCGGTTAGTTGGTTAAGAAAACTTAATTAAGTTTTTCTTATTTGAACTGCAAGATTGTAAAAAACTGAACAGAATTTTTTAACAAGAACGCGTTGATTTTCTGTTACTGGGTTTTCTATTATTACTTCTGATATAAATTAGATCTAATGATTGTTTATTTTCTTGATTATGAAGGTTAAACTTCTTTTGGCGCATTTGGAAGAAATTATGTGAGTTAAATTTATACGATACGAGCGCACACCGACCCAACAATCATGTAATAAAAACTTTTTGATATGTATCAACAATTCCAAGATATTTAAATAAACCTCTATGAATTTCACTTAACTCGTAAGAAGTTATACTTCTTTAGCATACAGGCATGCTAAAGAAGTATAACTTCTTACATAAGTACACACTTACTTTTTTCTCCTTCCCCTTATTGATTGCGATCCAAGCCGAGGTTCGAACCTCCAACTGAGGGGCCCTTGGATCGTGTCGTGTGTGTGATATTTCGTTAGCAGGATGTTTTCAAAGGTTGATTGTTTAAAGAGCTTCAGCAATCATTCAATATTAGCCAAATCGCTTGCTTGTTTGACACCTTATAAAACAATAAACCCGTGTAACAAAAAAGGAAAACCCTTATTAAACTATTTTTTAAATGTTGTGTTGTGTGGCATAAACGTAAGAACAAAACCTGTGACTAAAAATATAAATGTAAATATATGTTATGCTATTAGTGTACCTTAATAAATAAATATGAGAAATATAAGAAACACAATATTCTATCATATACACGTAGTTTAGATTTGGCATATACTAGAATGTAGTAACTTTGTTTTATTGCGATTTATTGTTGAAAAAAATTGTCAAAGTAAGCCAATTTACCGACTTCGATATGGTCACCGCTATAGCGAAATTAGTATGTGGGTCCGAGGGTACACCTAAACAGTCGCGTCCGCTCCGCTTATGGGGCTCATTGTCCAGCACCAATCGCCCATTGGCTCGCCCGAAGGCCGATTTTCAAAGTGACCCGACGACACAAAGGATTTTCTTTGTTGCGTTGACGTTTCGATGTACCGCTTTAAACTCGATCTACGGTCAGTTCACAATTTCATATTGATCAGCTATTGATAGAATTTACGATAATGACGCCCGGTTCCCGAAACACACCACCACACACACAAAAGACCATCTGGGCGATAACCTACCCGTTGGTCTGATCAAATAAAACTCCAGATTTTCTGTTTCCACTGCTCTGAAGACAGCCGAAGACGGAGTGGTGAGGAAGCGGCTCGTCACCGATTGTGTCAAGGATTCTCAAGACGGACACGACCTTCAATAATAAAGACTACGAAGAAGAAGATACTACTTAATATCTAGCCACGATATGGCGCACAATTTTAGTGAGTGGAATATTTTAAAAAAACGAATTTTCATGGAAAAGATTTAAAAAAAATCTGTTATGCATAAATTAATGAATTAATTAATGAATGGAAATTTCGGCATAACAAGAAGGCTAAACAAAATCACTAGCGTCACTTAATTTTAATTGAAGAGTTAAAACGGGCGGCCAATTTTAAAACCGTTACAAATATCTTCCAGGCAGTATTTGTAAACAAAAGATATCAAAAAGGCTAAATTCTGCCAGAAAACTGTGGTAACGCCACGCAACAGACTTAGCTGATGCGCTAATAGGCAGATCCGGGAAAGTACCACGACCTCACAGATGACTGGAGCTAAGTGGAAATATTGCACTTCTTCGGTTCGTCTGGTGAGTGAGGGAGCCGGGGCCCACTTTATTCAAAGGTGGCAACGCATCGGCAACCCTACGGGTGTTGCAAAAGTCCATGGGCGGCGGATATCACCATTGGCGTATCTAGGATTATTTTTCAGGGTGGACATGGGCATTTACTAAAAAAAAATCAAACGACGTCGCATTATAAAAGTAAACGTTCATTATCGTTAATGGTTTCAATTAATTTATATTAGTAGTATTAATTAATTAATAGTTAGTACGTCGTGTACAGTGTTTAGTACAAGTAAATCAACGGAATTTATTGTAAAATAGTATACAATAAAAACTAAGTATCTACGTAGATTTCCCGGCTGAAGATAATTATTTGATTTCAAAGATTTTATGAAGTTTCTTAGGTATCCAGCCCAGAATTTCGAACCGGTAACCTAAATCCTGGGGTGGGCACTATATGATACTGGCATGGCCACCCGACCCCCCTGCTATATACGCCTATGGTCATCACTTAACATCAGGTGAACCGCCAGCTCTGTGCCACTTTTTAACATAAAAAAAAGGTTGCATTTATCTCGTACACTTCGCAGTACTAGTATTTTACATAATATCGTATGTAAAATTAGCTCATTTTCTCTCTCTCTAAGTTTCTTACATAAACTAGATACTTAATTATACAGTGGATTGTCCATTGAAGGTGCTCAGAGTTTCAGCAAGGTTCGGTAATGTTAGTCCCTTCATTATAAATTCTCTTAAGTTTTATATGATGAAAGTATAAGGATAGTTTCAGTGTAATAATCTGTTTATTACTTTTATATGAAGGTTGGCATTTTTTAAGGAAGACGATCTTCCTAAAAAATTAAAATATTTCAATACTGATAATGTATCAATAAAAACTATAGATTATAAAATTTTAAGCTCTTAAATAAATTAGAATTGCTTACCTCTATTGCAAGGAATAGTGTCTTTCAGTTTATATAATATTTTATTATCAGTTAAGTTTATGAGTAATTTTATGTTTCATGTTGAAATGCACAACATGTAATCTAAGTATGTCTAATATATAAATTTCTCGTGTCACGGTGTTTGTAATTGAACTCCTCCGAAACGGCTCGACCGATTTTCGTCAAATTTTTGTGTGCATATCGGCCAGGGTGAAGAATCGGATAACATGTATTTTTCATCCCCCTAAATGCTAAGGGTGGTCCACCCTAAACAGTTTTTTCTACCCTACAAATTCCCTAGAAATAATTTATATGGCAGAACAACCTTTTGCCAGCTAGTATCCTATAATTCTGTTAGTAACTGCAAATGTTTATTAATATTTTTTATTAGGTAAGCCTTTAAAATTCCTTAATTTTATCACATTTTTTGTGTTGATTTAATTCTTGAGTCACCATATTAGAATCAGATCACACTATAGTCTTCTTTGTAGTCACATACGTAAAGACACATGGCTTCACAGAAGATGTAAAGTAGAAGTAATTAATATGTTTTTCAATTAAAAACTTGCCAGCACTTGACTGCCCTCAGTACTTCACTCCAATATGACGGTAAGTGCCGATGTAGCCGTTGATAGTAAGCACGTTAGCTCAGTTAAGACTGAATAGGTTGTTCCTTGGATCTAGGAACATGCCTTGAAGACGCATTTAGATTGCATCTGGTGCATAGAATAGACTGCTTTAAAAAGTGAGTCTTATTCTCTTCGGAGGCTACCAAACCAAATTAAGTTACCTATGAGCTACCTCTTGGTGCTAAAGACCTTAAGCGGCGGTGGTCACCAACCAGGCAACAAGCTTGCTCGTTTGGCTCTTTTCCAAAAAACAATTATTTAAATATCGTCAACGCACCCCACTTTTGTCGCAAATGTTAAATGGTAGTGAAAATCATTTCCTTTCGGTTGAGCCGATTGCTAGTATGCTAGAAGAAAGAAAAACAATTACCGGCATTATTATACTTTCCCACATCTCTTGTCTCTTGTGAAATGATTGTGAATCGACTCTGAAATACGAATCATTGAATACGGGGGAACGTGACAATAATATTCTCGATTTTACCGCTACCGTAATTTTAACGAATCATCCAAACAAATATTTACGAAAGGACTCTGTCTCATAATGCAATCAGTTAGTTTGTAGTACATAGTATTCACTCAATGGTAAATTTCTTCTCTTTGAGACATTAATTAAAGGAACAGCTGCAAACATCTTCACACTTTATGTTAATTTTAATTTGTCTTGTCCTCTTATTTGTCTCCAATTAAATAAATAAATAAACCGATATATGCACCAAAATCAAAATCAAAATCAAAAATATATTTATTCACATAGACGCTTGCGCGTTCTTATCAAATGTCAAAAATTTTACATAACAATTAATACGTTCGTAAGTTACCACCGGTTCGCAAAGCAGTTTCTGTTGAGAAACTCAACAGTTGCTCTTTTATAAAACGATTAGTTTAAAATATAATATGACAAGTGTGTTATTTTGGCCTACTTGAGTATCAACAGTATTAATCCCACAACTTGGCGTCGTCAAGATATTACGCAATGGTATACCCGGAGTAGCCGCTGACATTGAAAGCATTTCTGCATTGGCAGCTCGCACTCCATCCGGAGTTTGGACCACCACGGTAGCTGATCCGGCGTACCACTGGCAGGAACGCCGGTCCATTGCGCCTGCCGTCACATGCCTGTGTTACGGAGCGGCGCGTAAATCATTTCGCTTCCCGGTCGCCAATAAAGTAAATAAATAAACTACTTTATTGGCACAGCTAACGGTAGTTGCACGAATGGGCAGGCTCGTCCGGTTAAGTACCACGACCTTACAGAAGACCGGCGTGAAGTGGAAGTATAATACTTTCGCGTTCCCTCTGGTATTCTTTCGCGTTCCCTCCCGCGGTGAGGTAGCCGGAGCCCAATTTTCAAATGGTCGTCAACGCATCTGCAACCCTCGGGTGTAGCGGATGTCCATGGGTAGCGGTATTCACTTAACATCGGGCGAACCGTCTGCTCGTTTCGCAACTCTTCATATAAAAAAAACCCGGGGTTGCCATTAACAGTCCAGGCATTTATGCTTCGATACCACGGACTGCATCGTCCGGGGTTCGAACCGGCGACCGCGGTAGGAGATCCGGCGCGCCCGTCGCATGCATGCGTTGCGCAGCGCGTAAATCATTCCGCTGCGGCGCAATCGGGGAATCGATCGGCGGCTTAATAAGGCCGGGACGGGATCGCCGTGTGGGGGGGGGGGGGGGGGGGGGGGGGGGGGGAGAGAAAAAACGCTGAAATTACGAGATGGACCGATCGTGTTACGGGCGCGTGCAAAAAGTGCGCGCGCGCAAGTCGCCGTACGAGACCAGTTGCTCGACGAGGCGGGGGCCCTTCGCGCCGACGACATTTGGGCCACGGCGAGTAAATGTTCTCAAGTGGCGACCACGAATCGGAAGACGTCGGAAGGCCCTCTAGGGCAACTGACGACATCGTAAGAGTCGCGGGCAACCGGTGGATGCTAATGGAAAAGTGTCGTTCGTTGTGGCATTTTAAGGGGGAGGGCCTAGGTTCAACAGTGGAGGTCTTGTGGCTGATGATGATGGTGCCTCACTTCGGTAAAGACCACAACCCTTCGGCAGGCTATGAATTAAGTTGGGCTTCTTTCGTAGTCGGTTGTGTGAACACGCCTTTATGCTAACTACCGTTGACCACGTGATAATTCTTAAGTCTTCTTTGTCTGAAAGTACATTGTGAGTACTTAGTCTGGACAGATCTGTTTGTTTACGCTAGAAATACTAGAACCAGTCAGTTGATCTCACCAGAAATGTCTTGTTACTGGATTATATAATACTGGCTTACTCGGAAACATATTTAGAAATATCATGAAAGCATGGCGCAAATTAATTGAATCGTCTCGTTATCGTCACGTGACCGTCAAAGGCACTCATCAGTTGTAACATAGGCACCAATCGTGATCTGCAGGCATACAGGGCGTAGCTCTGTCTCCTCCGACAGTGCTACGTACACACGGCGCGTTTTCTTAACCCTTATTAAGCATGACAAAATAACTTTAATTACAATACGTTAAGTATAATGACACTCGGAAAAAGCTCCCTGAGTATACAAACTTAGCAATTTAGATTTGACTATTGTCATAATTTATAGTCTCATTACATGACAAAAAGGAAATTGAATTTATTCAAAAACCACGACGTTGTATCGTAAAGCGATTGCACATATTAATCGTGAGAGTTGAATATTATGGATAAGGTATAAAGGTGAATATTGCGAGAATTTCTTTGTTGTTGTTTTCAGCGGGGGAAAAATGCGGCAGTGTGCGCCGACCCGCGCGCGTAGCTTATGATATTCAGCGTACGCTCGTGCGGCAAAAAGCGGTCTCCGCCATTTCGGCCGCGCGCGCGCACTCTCCGGTTATTACGGGAAATCTTATGTTAATTACAATTATATACTTGTACGCCGCGCCGCAGCGTTGGCTGCCGTCGCGCTGCGGCGTCGCGCCAAACTGGCCCTTATTATGTCGCGTTAAAGGGCAAATTCGCGTCGATGGGGACGCCATACTAATTGCGCGCTGCTCGGTCCGCCGCCACGAGAACCGTCACATGCGACGCGCCGGCAAAAACGGGTATCCTATACAATTTTAATGCATTCGCTGGAATTTACGGGAGATTCCTACGGGGCGGTTTGAAAAAAGAGCACGGACATGTGTGGACGGTTGTGCGTTGCGAATTTTGATTCGCGTTGCATCTAGTTTGACGTCGTATCGGTATTTTTAGTGCGCTGGGTGGGTACAGTCAGCTGCCGGGGTGGCGACACACCTCCCAGGCGCTGCCCATGCGCAATTACGTCCATGTACGCATTCCTTAGGTGGTGGGGTAAAAACGAGATACATACTCATAAATGTGCAAGTCGCCGGTTCATTTTCATTCGGTAATAACGTGTCGTATATATGTGCGGCTGCGGGCTGCTTGGGCAATTCGCGTTTCATTACAATGTGATATAAGACAATTTGAAATTGTAATTAGAACGTAAACCGCATTGGCAGCAACTTCTTAGGAAAGCGCGGCTCCCGAGAAAAACCTTTTCACGAAATCCAATTCTATTTTATGCTTTATCGTATTATGTTATTGCGGGTAGTTGAACGTAGCTTTTGTTTAAGAAACATCTTTTTGATTTAATTCATCAATTCATCATTCAATTCTTGTGGGATCTAAACAAATCAAACGAACAAAACTACATTTCTCAATTGCTGTTTGTTTAGCATTTGAGAAGTTTTATATATGTTATAAATAAATAGACACTGGAGTGTGTGATAGGTAAATGGATGTGAATAGTCCAAGGTAGATGACCTCTTTATCCAACAGTGATTGCCGTGGTCTGATGATGTCTTTAATTATCATCATCCTCCTTTCCTCATCCCACTGGTGTGGTCAGCACAGCACGTGACTGATGTATAATTCGCTTATGACCAGAAATCCAGGCCATGTCTTTACATGCCTGATGATTAATTATCACCGTCATCTGTGTACGTAACACCAGTGAGGATGCATTCAAGTTGCTGCCATCTAAAGTCACCAGACGCACACGGGACGTAACATATTAGTAGAAAAATTGCTGTGGTATTCCCTTGGTACCTCAGTCAAGTCAAGGCAAAGAAAAATCCTTTAAATACTATCAGGTAGAAGACACAAAACCTTTTTTGCTAACACTTGCTAGCTCAATTATGCCACTCGGAGCGGCCCACTCCGGCCGGCCTTACTGCATAGGCCGGCCTAGTATAGGTTCCTCTTGGCTTCACCGTGGGTAACCAAGCCACTAAGCCCCTCCGCCACGACAAGGCGGGAAGCCGGTTGGAAGGGAATCAGCTATCCCACCTAATGGTAAGTGGCGATGTAGGCGGGGACGGTACGTGCACTAGTGCAATAAATTCCTTTTCATTTTTACCTTGTAGTAAATTTCAACTGTTAGTTTGTTTTGTATTTGTATTTTGTGTGGAAGGAAGTGTGGAGTTGACTAGTAATTCCTAATGACCACTGCAACTTAAAAAATCTATCGTCTTCCCTTCGAAAACATTCCCTTACTGTGGGATAATATTATCTTGTGTTGTAAGAACGTTTTACAAATATAAATTCCACGTAGACAAACACCTAGATGCGAAACAATTACCTGTGGGTCACGCTAATAGTTGTCTCGTGTGTCAATCGAACCCACAACCTCCGCGCTGAAGCCAATACCTTAGCGACTGCGCCACGGAGTCATTAATGAATGAATGAATGAATGAATGAAATATGCTTTATTGTTCACCAGACAAAATTACAAAAGTAACAAAAATTACATAAAGGTACAATTCGCGGCTTTATCGCTTAGAAGCATTTTTAAATTTCTTCCAAGCAACCAAGTTAAGGAGTCATCAGCCACAAACAGGAACAGAACCTGTCCAGCGGCCAAGTGGACCACTGGGCCGCCCGGATGGCGTGGCCACCGAGCCACCGGATACCAGCCCACATCAGCCGCTATCGCCGCCGGCGTTGCATACAAATCGCCTCAGGCCAACGGGGCGAAACAATTTAATATTTCAATGTCATTCGCAACGCGCTGACCCCGTTGCGACGCGTCCGCGCGCCTTATGCGGCGGCCATTTATTTATTTTCGCTTCCGCCCGCCGCCGGAAGGGCGAGCACAGTTACTTTCGCGCCGATCGCATAACAATCTTGCGGAAGGATGCGCTACGACGGCGCGATGACCCGGATAGACGCTAGTTCTGACGGACAACGCCGCCGTCGGCTGAGTTACAACCCACCTACATTGCGGATTAGGCAGAGTTGCCAAATTTTACTCACTTTTTATCCAATGACTGGATCTCGAGATGTCAGGTGAAATTAATTTCTTTTTTTTTTGTGAGAAGGTGGCATGCGAGCTAGCGGTTCACCTGGTGTTAAGTGATAACCGCCGCCCATTGACATTTATGTGTTCCGTAGGGTTGCGTTGCCATCTTATTTATAAAGTGGGCCCCGGCTGCCTCAATCACCAGACGAAACGCAAAAGCATGAAACTTCGACTTCACGCAGATCTTCTGTGAGGTCGTGGTATTTACCCGGACGCACCTGCCTATTTGTGCAATAGATTGTTGCGTGGTCCCACTACAGTACACAGACTAAAAGGAGACGAGGATTGGCAGCAGTACGAAGTGGCCTCGTGCTGTTGCAAAATGAGAAAGGTTCATCCTTCTTCGAGGCGTGCTCATGCGTAGTACCGAGGGACGCACCGCGCGATCCGTAGGAAATCCCGGAGTCCCTCGTCTCGGCGTTTATTTTACCATTTGATTGAGTTACGTTTACGAGTACTTATCTATTATACAATATTTCATTGAAATTGAAATCTCCATCGTTAAACACATAATATACATCGTGTTTTAAAGATCGAAATCCCCACCAGCTATCCATAAGGGAGCCAAATACTTTTTTCGACTAACTTCAAAGATATCAAGGCATCAAGGAGACACTCAATTCAGTTGTGTTAATGGTTATTATTTATATATGAAGAGGAAATGATGTAACGATATTAGCGACAAAATGTTATAAGTTAGTCAATACCTATATTCTTTTTAAACATCGCTGGTTTCCCAATTAATAGTAGATATGAGATTCATCAAAACTAAAAAAACGGGAAAGAAAAGAAAAAACGTCCTTAATTTTACATCTTAATTAAGAATTGGATAATGTGGAAAAGTTGAATCATGTTTACTTTTAAGGATTTTATTCTGATTTATCTGTAATTTGACAGTAGCACGCATGAACTAAGACATTATTTAATCATTGCAGTTTATCTCTTGACGCCGGAAAAACACAAATTAAACTCAATAAAACACGTCAAAGATTTTTATTTAACAATATTATTCAGGTAAATACAACAAAATATAATCTACCAGCAAATGAATCATATAGTGAATACATTGATAAGGCATTTAAAGCGGTTACACATTTCACTTTGGAGAATCTACGTAAGTTTCCGAAAAAGTAAATAGTTTGGCAGACTGAACATATCGGTACAAATCAGTATAACACATCGGTCCTTGCTTAGACAAGCACGATACGTTGGTAGCAGTAAAGAATTACCGAGTTATAAAACTAAATTGTTCTTCTTAACACAAGTTAAAGCCAATTAGCACCAATTACCACATCTCCAGTTTTAAGGATTCAAAAAACCAGTCAAGTGCAATTCGGTCTCGCGTACGAGTAGGGTTCCGTACCATTACGTATAAAAACTGCAAACAAATCATGTCTGTTGTATGGGAGCTCCACTTAAATATTTTTTTATTTGTTGTTATAGCGGCAACAGAAATACACCATCTACTGTCTATGTAATTTCACCTGTCTAACTAAAACGGTTCATGAGATACAGCCTGGTGACAAACGTACAGACAGACAGCGGAATCTTAAATAGGGTCCCGTTTTACCCTTTGGGTACGGAACCCAAAGAACCTTTCATCAGAAACAGTTATTAGGTACAGTATTAGGTCTTCCCACTTTGTACAGTTACACAGATTTTATATTAATAGGAAGTAAATTTTCTTATGAGTATTGTATCAGCCATAATAATAAGCCGATCCAAGGTCATACAAAATCTTTATTTAATGATATATTTATATTTGTTTATATTTATTGATTATTTTTGTTTGAAAATCTAATGTTTCATGCAGATATAATTTATAAAAGCATAAGACCATAATGTTTTCATTTATTTATTTAATAGTAAAGAGGTTAGTACGAAATTTTAATTTCAGTTGAAATATCACGGCCTCACATAAGACTGGGCGTGAATTGAAACCACCTATAATATATTTATATTAATTTCTGGGGGATAACAAAAGCTTAATAAATAAAAATACGACCAATATTAGAAATACGACCTGTGATAAGTAGAATTTTTCGTATACTTTTAGGTTTGGTGTCTTTATAGCAATTGGGGCCCACTAAAGGTTGACAAGCCATATGCCATAGACACACTCAACTTTTGTGTTTTCTTTCTATTGAAGAAAATAGGCCTGTCACAGACTGCCACGAAGCACGATACTGAGGCACCAGATTTTTTTTTAATATATATCAACTAGCGACCCGCCCCGGCTTCGCACGGGTGCAATGTTGAATGTTTGTTTTCGACATCGGATTAGAAGTCCCTAAATTATCAGTGTTTCTCTTCCATATCATGCATGAATTATACATATAAACCTTCCTCCTGAATGACCGCATCAAAAGCCGTTGCGTAGTTTTAAAGATCTAAGTATATATAGGGGTAGACAGACAGCGGGACGACTTTGTTTTATACTATGTAGTGATACATCTTAGGAAAACCACAAGAATTATACGCAAACCGATGTGATTGAGAATAAAAAAAGAAGTTCAGAGCGTCACAGCGTAAATAGCAATCAATACGAGAATCCTCAACCAAAAGAGAAGTCGATTGGGGCTGAAGAACCACTGAAGAGTATTAAGAGTGGCTCTTGGGTAGTAAATCTATTACTGGAGTGTCAAGCCGGAACGTTGCCGACAAACAGACTGTGAAAAGAACGGCTTATAGAATGCCGAGTTCGTATCGAACTGTACAATGATCCTTGACGAATTACAAAGGAGCTGTCTCTAAC